AAATAAAGTAAAATAAAAACAAAAATTCTAGATTCCCTGGTTCCATCTCAGCACTAATGAATTACCATATCTGCAGTTTGTGTTTGGAATCTGCATTCCTAAGAACTTCCCCAGTGAATTTGTTCCAGCCATACTCCAGCAGCATTAGATCAATCCCAATATTCTCCTTTTATGATATTTTTTAATGTGCACTCTTTTTTTGTGGCAACTGTAAGTACTTTGTGTCCAATATGTGTGCTATGGGGGATGAGTCCTAAGTATAATTAGAAGAAATATTGAGATGGGAAAAGTTTAAACTAGAAAAGGAAAGTCGAAGTTGAAAATATAGTGAAACAAAAGGTAGATGTTACTGTGGAGGACTGAAGGAGCTGAGAAAACCAGAAGGAAGTTTGTGCAGATTACAGGACCGTGCCTGCAAGACGGTGCCTGGGGATTGGGGCAGGAGCTGCAAAGCTACCAGGACCCCAGTACTCTCTGCTTCTCCTTCCTGACATGTTTTACTATTTTCAACTGCAGACAAGCTTCCTTTGCTGCCCTCTGCATGGAGTCACTATTTTACCCTGCCTCAGTGCCAGATACACACACACACACACACACACACACACACACACACACACACATACACTTCACCAAAGTTCTGGGAATCTCAATAGAATCCCAGGAGAGAGAGTTGTTAGCCATATTCTGGTCAGTGTACATACACCGCTGATCTCATTCCTTGGCCCTGAGACATCAGCTCACATACGACCTACGGAGCTGCCTGAGCTAACTCTGCACCTGAGAAGGTACTTCTGGAGAAAAAGGCAATGCTGTGATTGGATCCACTCAAGGACATTTCTCATCTCAGAATTCAAGGAACTGGCATAGAGGAATTATCCAAAGATATTTTCCCATGGTTTTGGGACTATGGAAACTAGGAGGTTGAAATAAACAACTCCAAAACCAAAAAAAAAGAGGGAGAGAGAGAGAGAGAAAAGTCTTAGCTATTAAAAAAAAAAAAAGAGGGAGAGAGAGAGAGAGAGAAGTCTTAGCTATTTTACTGGACAAAATGCACTTAGCAGGAAAAACAAAAACAAAACACGAACCCTATTATTAGATTGATTCTATTTGTCATAACATTCTTTGACATGATTCTGGGTCTGGATCGCAGATGTTGCAGGGGGGATTGGGTTATATTGTCACTTTGTCAGCACAGCTGTTTTCACTTGAGGTGAATATGGGCATTACCTGGCCACCATGACCTATATTTTCCTTTGAAGCATGGGAGTTGTCCAGTGGAGTTGGATAGTGTCCATTCCTCCAAAAAGCTGTTGAAAGCTATCAATCTTAGGGGCAACAGAGACCCTCAGCTTGGGAGAAAAGGAAGGAGAAAGAACTAGATTCTTCTTCTTAACTGCTTTTTTCTTCCCCAAGTAAAATTAAAAAAAAAAAAAAAGTCATTAGATAGATTGGGGTGGCCTTGTTTGACACCATACTGCAGAGACGATTAGAGCCCTTCAGAGAAAGACTGGCAGAAGCAAGACGGTCAGTGATCCCAGAGCCCTCAATAAAACAAGCATGCTCCCAGAGCTGCCCAGCTTCTGTGGGTGCACTTTAAGGCAATACGTCTTAAGCTTTCGTATTCAATGTGAAGTACATCTGGGAATGGGTCCAGATACTGCATTTTCTTTTAAAATTAACAAATAATAATTGCACATATTAATGGGGTACATAGTGATATTTTGACACAAATAATGTATGATGGCTAGGCACAGTGGCTCATGCCTATAATCCCAGCCTTTGGGAGGCAAGGCAGGAAGATCGCTTGAGCCCAGGAGTTCAAGACTAGCCTGGGAAACATGGTGAGATCTTGTCTCTACCAAAAAATATATATATATTTTTTTAATCAGCCAGGTGTGGTGGCACGTGTGTGTGGTTCCAGCTACTTGGGATGCTGAGGTAGGAGTATCACTTGAGCCCAGGAGGGCGAGGCTGCCATGTTTGTACCACTGCACTCCAGCCTGAGTGACAGAGCAAGACTATGTCAAAAAACAAAACAAAACAAAAAACAAGAAACAAATAATGTATGGTGGTAATAAACGTTTGAGAAATGATAAACAATTTAACATCTTTGAGTAATCAACATATCCATCATCTTAAATACTTATCATTTATTTCCGTTAGGACCGTTCAATGTCTTCCTAGCTATCTGAAGCTACATAATATATTATTGTTAACTACAGTCTTTATTCAGTGGCATAGAACGCTGGAACAATCTGGCTGGGATTTTGCATTCTTGAACACATCTCTCCCTGTAAGTTTCCAAGTGATTCTGATACTAATGGTCCGTGGAAGTAATAAGCCTTTAAGGAGCACAGATTGGTAACATGGGAAAATTAGATAAACAACATTTGAGATCCTTCCTTCCCTATGGAACGGTTCATAGCACGGACTGACTCCGGTCCACGACTGCCTTGCCCTCCTTTCACATATCACAGGCCTTCACAACTGGTTTCTGGTTCTACGAAGGGCCATGAAGCTAGCGGATTCCTTGTTTCATTAGAAGCTCTGCAGTGGACCATGAAGCATGCTCAGGGAGAGAAGGGAAAGCTGAAAGAACTGGGAAAGCCAGCAGTCGGCTGCAAGCTGGGCCACAAAAGAACAGAAGAATTAACGATCCCCAGGGATTAGAAGAAATATCTGGGGAGGGATATTACTCGAAAAGACTGAAAACTTCTAGTAAAGTGGATGGAGCCTGAAGACATTATAACTTGGGAATATAAAGAAGCTGATAAGTGCTAGACATAATACTAGATACATCAACTAAATCCACAACAAAGCATCTAATTGAACCTATGAGGCAGAAAGCACCCCCAAAGTTTCCAGGGAACAAAAAATGATTACTTGGATCTAATTACATTAATCTATAAAATGTCATTGATATTTTCTTTTAATAGCTACCAATGTTATTTTATATCAGTAAACATTAAAACAATTATCAGAGATTCCCAGGTTAATTTTCAATCTATATGTCCAATCTTATTTTTCTATTAAAATCTTAATGTTGTCAACCAAGAATTCTTCCAACAGCTTGCTGTTGAGACATTGCTATCTGAAGAACTCAAACAAAAATTTTAGACTCCAATAGAGTGAATATCTCAAATGTGTAGCCAAGCTTAATCAGAGGAGCAAGCCTTTTTTGTTTAGCCTATGTATTTTCATAATTCCCGAATTAGAATGCTTCTAAATAGGCTGTGCACAGTTAAACTGACCATAATTCCCAGTGCAGGTTGGCCACACAGTGCATTTATCTGACTGAATTCTAAAGGAGATGAGTTCATCCCTTTCATTAGCTCATCAGTATATGAGTAACATTTTTATATATGTGCTTAGATGTAAAGTGAACTCTCTGAGTCCTTGACTCAATGGAGTATGAGGTTCAGCTAGAGATAAAGGACATATACAAAATAACTCTAAGACAAAGTGGAGCATAAGAACTGCTTTAAGAGATGCAAAAATCCAAGGTCTTTGAGGGCACAGAGACAAAAGGTTGAGGACAGTTTTCACCAGAGCTCTCTGAACTGACGACTGAAGAATGGATGGAATTTAACAGTCAGAATGGCCTTTACATGGGACGGTGAGAGAGGAGAGACGGATCGAAGCCGCAGATGTGAAAAATACAAGGCATCATTAAGAAAAAGCAAGAAACTGGAACAAAGCGGGAGTGAGAGGGAGTAACAGGGAAAAAAGAGGACACATTTTGTTAGAGCAAAATGTCATTCCACGGTAGCTCTCGGCTCTCAAACTCCAGCACGGAGGCCTGTTTCCCTGTTATTCCTGTCCTGGTCTCCGCCTTCTTCCCAGGCTTGGCAGCCTCCTGATCACGAATCTTCCCTTGATCCCGGTCATGAGGAAGCAGCCCACAACCCTTGTACAGGAATCCCATCAAGCACCCTTCCCACCCACACTCAGCATCAGCCGCCTTTTCTCACTCCTCTCTGCTGAGGCATTGGGCTGTCTGATCTCACCTCCTCCCTAAGCTGTGCTAGGCCATGCCCCAGCACAACCCAGGTCCCAAAACCGGGGCTTTCACTGCCTCCTGGAGTCAGAGCACAGATGTTTAACTTATGACTCATCATTGTGTCTTGGGTTTCTATAGTCACTGCCAATCAAACCCGTGGGGGTTCCCCACTTTGGATAATGATTCCTTTATCTCCCAGTCTCTCCATTTAAAAATAAACCAACAGAAAAAACAAATCCATTGGTCTAGGTCTTTTATCCTGCATGCCCCCCATTCACCAAACCCCCATGCTTTTTTTCTCTATTCCTTCAGCCCTTGGATATCAGGACCAGGCACCCAAACTACACCTGCCAAAGACTTACCCTTGTCACGGTGGCTATTGCCCTTATGGAATGCCAGTTTATTCTGAGTATTTTCATCACAACATCCTCTATAAAAAATTTAAATGTCTCCATATTTCCCCTTTTATCAGAATTAGATTCTTTTGGCTAGCTTTCAAAGACCCTTATAACCTGACCCAAGTTCTCTGCCGTTCGGTCACTGTTGAGTTCTGTGAACACAGCTGGTGGTTGCTGTGTTTGAAAGATGAGACTCTTTCTCATCTTTCAAACAGCTCACCACTGCTCTGCAGAAACCCCTTCCTGACTCCCCATCAGTCAGGAAAAAGAAATCATTGATTTTTTTTCACCCTCCTAATCTCCATATAAAACCTTCATAACATTGGCTTTTACACATCTTTATTTATTTCAATATTGTTTTACTTCACATTTGTTCATTCTGCCCTTACAAACTAACCTACAGCAGGGTCATGATTTTTGGTGTTTTGTTCACTGTCATTTCAAATGTTTCACATGATGATAAACAGGTCATGGGCATTTTGTAAGTAGTTATCGAATAATGGATTAGAGAGAGAGTTTCAACCGTGAACAGCTGCGATCAGTTTTAAATAGTTATCTAAGAGTTACAGGAAAAAATAGAGCTATGCTCCACGCAGACTTACCAGAGAAAACGCTAGGTATCTTGGAAAGAAAGCTTTTGACCGTGCGAATAGGAATTCCATTTTTTTCATCTTGCATTCGTGCGATGACGTCTTCCATCTAAACAACAATAATATAATTAAAACCTTTATGAATTTGAACTTTTTTGAAAAAAATCAGCTCTCGTAACAATTTTGTATTTCAGTTTTGCCCAACTAAGAATAATGCCATATTCTTGCCTTTCTAGTTTTTGCCACATTAACAGTTTAAGTTCTGTTAAAAAGAGATGGAGGAAACGGCAAGAAAAATGGCCATGTTAGAGTCCATTAGGCTACCAATAGGAACTGTGTGCTTTGAATATTGCCTTTCTCCTGACTTCATGTACTTTGCTTATAAAGGTTAAGCTGAAAGAGTGTTTATTTCTCAAGTCTTTAGAAACCATTGTCATAGCAAAGTCATGCTTCATTAACGTTACCTCTACTGAAGTCAGTGCAAAAGAAAGTAGAGCCTTAAAAGCATCTGCTTGAATTGCTTCTTCAAGCAAGAGATTTTCCATGAATTTGTTTTACAATAAAGCTCTAAAACCTGCCTAGAAATCCAGGACTGATTGCCAGCAACTATTACATCTCTTGCCCAGGTACTTACTGAAGTGTGTTATGAAACACACACACATACACACTCTCATGCACATGCACACATGCATGTGCACATATTTTCCATACATGCACACATATACGCACAGCGGTACACATACACATACATGTACACACACACACACACACACACACACATATATATATATACAATAAAATTAATGTAGTACCACAGGCTTCTGCCCATTTACTAGATTCCACTTTATCTTTGTTTCCATCTTGTTAGTACACTCTTTTACTTTTACAAATTGCTCACAGTTCTAAAGTCCTGTGCTTCATAAAGCCAATGCAGAATTTTAGTTGTGAAGAGCATTAATTCATTCAAATCATAGCCACAGACTTTCCTCATATGCTTCTAAACCTGTGAGATGCGTAGACACACAAACACACACAAGTTGTAGTATGGGACTTAAAATCCATTCATCCATTTATTCATTTCACAATCACTGATCATTAACTCTAGACCAGATATACTACTGGGCACTGTGGATATAAAAATGCAAACAATACAGTTCCTACTCTCAAAAACTTCAGTCCATAGTGACAACCAAGGTGAAATCTGAGTAAAGTATGTAGTTTAGCTAATAGTGCTGTACCAATGTTAATATCTTGTTTGATAATTATGCTATGGTTATGTAAGATATTAACATTAAGGGAAGCTGAGTAAAGGGTATATGGGAATTCTGCTATCTTTATACCTTTTCTGTATGTCCAAAATCATTTCAAAGTAAAAAGTTAAAAAAAAAAAATCACAGTCTAAACTTTGTATTAATGAATCACCAAATTTCCATCAACACAGCTTTACAATGGTTTTCAGCTAAGAAATCTAATGTGCTTGGTATCAACAGATGTATTACGATGACAAATAACTAGGGATGTGGAAAGAATGGGTTTTAATGAAACACAGATTTGTATTTGACTTTTAACTCTTCTAATTATTATCTATGTTCTTTGAGTAAGTTAAATAACCTCTCTAAGACTCCATTTTCTGATCCATAAAATGGTGATAATAACACTTATAATAATTCCTTGCTACTGTTCTTCATGGGACTGCACTGGGCCTAGGGTGAGGTAAAGTATTTTAAGGGCAAATGACACAACATATATAAAGCCTAGTACATGTATAGAACAATAAATATTAGATCGAATGTCCGTGAACACTCATGATATCTGGGGATGCTTATTCTCCATCTCATGTTTTGTTTCATGAGGAAGGAGCACCATTACCCTAATCTGCCTGCCTGTCTGTCCCCCCTAATTTACTCCACAGGAGCTGAGCTGACTTATCGGACAGAAGAGCTGGGAATGAGAAACTGGCCAGCAGGGCCCATTCTTCTCTTGGCTAGAAGCCCACATCCAACTCAGCTGATGAAGAGATGCCTGCCCTAGTAGGTAAGTCTACTCAGGATTGTGTTTGAGGATTAACGTTGACTTGTGCACATTCTTCCATAATACCTGTATCAGCACTCAGGGTGACATTATGACCCCTACGTGCCTGTCTTTATGGTTGTGGTTCTCAGTTGGTTCAGAATTCAAGTATAAAAAGATGCAGCTGGGTGCTATGGCTCATGCCTGTAATCCCAGAAATTTGTAAGGCCAAGGTGGGCAGATCACCTGAGGTTGAGAGTTCCAGACCAGTCTTGCCAACATGATGAAACTCCATCTCTAATAAAAATACAAAAATTAGCCAGGTGTAGTGGCACGCACCTGAAATCCCAGCTACTTGAGAGGCTGAGTCAGGAGAATCACCTGAACCCCAGAGGCAGAGGTTGTAGTGAGCTGAGATTGTACCACTGCACTCCAGCCTGGGAGACAGAGTGAGACTTCGTCTTAAAAAAAAGATGCTTTTATCAGGCCTCTAAAAGACACCAACAATAACCAAATTTCAAATAGCCTACTTCTCATGTAATAAAGATCTCTCATGACTTTTTGTTACTATTTGCTCAAGACTGACCTGCCACAGTGTACAGAAATGCAGAATAAGCTGCTTTGTCCTGCCCCATGTCAGCCTCTAAACCCTTGTATTATCTGCTTAATGGTTTAAAGCAGGCTGGATTAGAGGGACATGGAAACCTCTCTGACTCCCACTTTGGTCTCAGCACCTAGAGATGCGGCAAGAGCCACCTCTGGTTGGGGCCGAACTGACGTGCAGAACTATGGGCGGCAGTATTTTCTTTGTATAGTCTCATCCCCTCTCAGTTCATTGGATCCCAAAGGAGTGAGAATAGGAGGCTGGAGAGTAAAAGTGATTTCTGTGGCTGTATTTCAAAATCTTCCATTTTTCTGAGTCATAATTTCCACAATAGAAAAAAGTTTTAACTTAAGTAAAAATAGGATTGGTGTTCTAGACTGAAAATGTGATAATGCACGTGCATTCAGCTGTTTGTATCTTTTTTCAGACATGATTTATCCATGATCTTTGCCATAGCCTAGAATGAGACAAACACAAACGAAAGAAAACAACAAAACAGCAAATGAAAAAACAAAGACATATACAAAAAACCAAAACCCTGCTTTCTAAAAGTTAAAATCTTAGAAGAACAAAAAATAAAATTCTAGCCCTCAAATGACTGAAGGGTTCCCCTGTTGACTGAAGGGACCCCAGGGAAACCCTGGAAGCTAAGTTCATGGCCATGATAGAATGCGGGTTGGGGCACACCTCGCTGTACCCCTCCCTCACTAACCACCATCAGGCTTTCTTCTCCAAGGGCTAAGCAGAAACCGACCCTTTTGAAAGATTCAACACTGATAATGTCCATTAACGACTTATCTTCCCAGTGTAGAACACAGCTAAAATGAGATTACGCATTCCTTCACTCCTGCTCAAGATGTCTGCTCCCTCCATTCCCTTTTTCTTCAAATGTTCACGTTATCTTACGTAAAACGTAAACGTACAGGGCCCTAATTAAAGTCTCACAAGTATGTAATCATTCCTCTCACTGTTGCCTTTTGCTTTTTAAGGAAGATGCGTAACTACTAAACGTTCTGAGAACCTCTTTGGGAAAAACAGCCACACAGGCATCCATAACTTGTCCTCAAGCTGGCTCAGTAAGCCTCAGTGATTGAGATTTATGTCCCAATCACTCATTTCGGTTGTCACAGTCACCAAGGTCACATAATAAAACACATCCATCTTATCCACTGACGTTTCCTTAAGCATTCACTCACAGTCTACTAATTTTGATATTAGGCATGACTTCAGCATGCTTGGTGGTCTGTTTTCTTATTAGCAAGAGCAATTGGATGAGAAAAAAATGCTAAAAGGAGGCAAAAAACATAGAGCAAGTTAGTTAGACAGTAAGAAGTATGAAAGATCGTAAAAAACAACTCCAATAAATATGAAAACATTTGAGACACTTTAAGGCCAAAAGACTCAGGTACCTCAAGTCTCTCTCATATATATGTGTCTATCTCTGTGTGTATGTGTATATATGTGTATATATGGGCATGTATATATACATACACACAAGTATATATGTGTGTATATATACATATGTATATGTGTGTATATATTCATGCATACACCTATATATATGTGCATGTCACACATACACACACATGCATATATTCATTAAAATGCCACTGAGTTGTGTGTTTTCACTTCATAAGCCTGTTTCTGAGGGTGAGGAAACTGAACATGCGGGAAGAGGACACTGGACTGTGGACATGGACAGAGCAGCTGGCATGCCTTGGGTCACCAGGGATTTTTCTGAGGGCTATTTTCTTTACTTTTAAAATAAAAAGTTTGAAGCAGGTGATCTGTAAGATTTCTTCTAGCTACAAAATTATTTAAGTCTGGAAATAATCATCAGCATTTAGAAGTAGGTAAGTTTCCACATTAAGTCAAAGAGCCAGTTCCCTGTTAGAGACAAATAGATGAAGCTATTAAATTAAACAAGGCCAGGCCAGGCATGGTGGCCCAGATTAGACCAGTCATCTCAGCACTTTGGGAGGCCGATGCAAGAGGATGACTTGAGCTTAGGAGTTTGAGACCAGCTTGGGCAACATGGCAAAACTCCCTCTCTACAAAAAAAATACAAAAATTAACTGGGCGTGGAGGCAGGCACCTGTGATCCCAGCTACTCAGGAGGTTGAGGTGAGAGGATCTCTTGAGCCTGGAAGGTCAGGGCTGCAGTGAGCTGTGGTCCTGCCATTGCATTGCAGCCTGGGCTACAGAGTGAGACTCTGTCTTAAAATAAATAAAATGAAATAATAAATCAAACAAGAGTGTACACAAATGAATTTGTTTCCAAAGTTTCAATACCAACTATAGTTATTGAAAGCATGCACGTAGGTCCGTTAGACCTGAGTCTGAATCCTGACTGTGCTACTTACAAGCCATCTAAACAGATGAGTTAATTTAATACTCAAAGATTCAGTTAACTCATCTGTAAAACAGAAATAATGATAAATTGTATACATCTTATCAAGGGTGAGAATTAGTGAGACAATGCTAATTAGATGTTT